TCCTCGAGAGCCTGACGAAGCTGATCTTCGGTATATTGAGGCATTATATATAGAAGAAGACATGTGCAAAAGATGAGCCCATTTGGACGCGAATTGAAAATGTTGTGATAAAAGGAGGTTGGGGGTGGGCATTGGGTTGTGGTGGATTTTCGCGTTTTTGTGGGTGCCAGAAACAGGGGGGTGCCAGGAAGTGGGTATGTTGACTTATCTGTAGCGCGATATTGGATAACTGGGAGAATTCTCGCTTGGTATTGTTTCCAGAAGTCAATACTCACCAAAGGACTGATACAATGATTGAGCGGCTCCATCAAGGTCAAGCTTTTCTCGTGAAACTAGAATGAGCAACGCGCAGTCGCTGGGATTTTCGCACCAAGTTTGGATGGTATCCCTTGAACCTCGAGTAACAGACGCAAGGAATATTACTCAGGCATTTGGATATCTGTATTACTGACTTGAAGTTCGGCATGATTCTCAGTTTTTAGGGTATATTGACGTGGAGACTGAAGAAACTTCGGTGAACGATGAGAGTGATCATGAATATTCCCATGATTATCAGGAATCACAAATCGCGTGTAGGCTGCGATTCAACATCGCCGATGTCCTTCAAGAACTGTTTCATCGCCCTTAATTCATCTTTCTTCATCCATTCTCTCATTCTCCAGACGGTAAGCACGGTGACGACGAGCGCCATTGCAAAATAAATGGCCACCCAGGGTGAGATGATTTGAGAGCTATCAGGGGGCGTCCAGTTGAAGAACGACATCGAAAAAATACTCTAGCCTCACGTTAGCTTTGTCGTTTTCAGATTTTGCTCCCATCGAGAAGCAAATACCGATGTCATGGCTTACAGCAAGAAAGGTGCCCGGCAAGAAGATCATTCCCAAGTGCGAAATACTCTTCATTTGACTGCCATCTTTCTTTGTGGCGAAAGCGATAGCAATCGCAACTTTAGCGTCTCGTCTGGTGTAGTAATTCGACTCCTAAATGATCTGTCAGCCATCCAAGAAGAACATGCATTGTCTCTCTCCGTACTAGAATCATAGGATATGCAACCAGTCACTCACCATCTGTGCGGCCAGCGCCATTCCTCCAAGTAGACTATCGCAAGTTCTTACTTTACTGTCAAACTCCGCGATCATCTCGGACAATCTAGTTTTGATTCTTTCACCTGTCTTACGCTCCTCAGTGTGGTGATCGATATCTTGACTGCCTTGGGCTGGTTGTTTGAAGACTGTTGTTGCCAGAATTTCGGATTGCTCAATCATTTTCACGACCTGATCGTGAAGGCTTTCCAGTCCGTTCTTGAGAATACTAACATCGAGCCATAATTTCGTTGACTGGGTGTCTCTGCTCTGGGCTACAAGCTCCACTTCTTCCGTATCCGGCTTAGGGAGCTCCGATTCTAGACGAAGCTTGTCTTCAAGAGTGAGAATCCACTGCCTAAGTTCCATCTGCTCACGGTCTAGGACATTGAAGAGACGTTTACGTTCGAGCTCCGCGAATACCAGTGGCATGATCAAGGGATGGAGAGCCTGTCCCTTGAATACCTTGAGCCATGCTGAAACAAGCTTGATGACTTGAGGAGTACACCCATACATCATTGCGTATGTCATCCGTTGGCTAGGAAGATGTGTTACGGACATGGCTACGTCGTCTGGTTTGGCTGGTGATGCTGTGTCGGACTTGCAGTTGTACACTAATTACCCTCGTTAGGTTAATAACACTCTCTTGCAAGTTGATCCACACATCGAGAGTTTATTCATATGACGGTCTCTTCCAAATAGGCGAATCGAAAATTTCACATACCGATTGCTGAGTTCTCTGAGCCACCAGAGTTCACTGTCACCGGTCTTATGTTGAACACAGCAGTGGAGATCCTGCCGTGCAAGAAGGCGAGGGATCGGTGCTGATATAGACGCTCGAGTATTCTACGGAATGTCCCTTGCTCGTATGGCACCGCCATTATATTGACGGGTTTTCCGAAGACTGGTTTGGGCCTCGAGTGCATGACGAGAAGCAAGCCTGGTTCTTGCACACATAGCTGAGGTGCGGAGACCTATTAAACACATAAAACTTCGTACACATTTGAATTCTGGAGATATGAAAGTGGCCTTACCGACCCCAGCGACCTGAGAAAGATATCCCCGGATTCATAGTTAGGGACCTCGTAGGTGAGTTGGGTGTCTGGGGTCTGTTCGTGCATCAGTTGGGGTTGTTTTCACCAACAATCATGAGGCGAACTCACACCTGAGGTTTCTTGTAAACGCACAACATGAAACGAATTGCCAGGAGTGAATGGAAAATGCTCCAAATCAGTCTCACGGAAGTTTACTTCCTGGTTTAGAGATTCCATGATGTTTCTTAGGATGAACGACAACACCAAACCCGAGGTTCTTCAACTTTGGGGCCGCTGCGGGATTATACATTAATGGCGATTCCTACTTGATCCAAAGTGCATTGTGAGATACCCGTGGTGAGTGAGCCTATCAGGCCATGTTCCCTCTTGGAGGTCCCCGCGCGAAACGACAAGCCCATTGACACCTAGCCTGACTACTTGCAAGCATGGCGCTGCTGACGGCAGATGCAATGCAAGCCAGTCCAACAATCTGCCAGCAGAAGGCATCCACTCCAGAACACACTCCGTAGGGGGTTAGGTAACGGTACATCTTTTCTACCTGAGCACACCACCACCATATCTCTGACCAATCGACGCACTGAGCATATTATACCGAAAGTCAGGACAACCATCTTGATGCACTATAGCCTGCTACTAAGCCACTGCTGTTCTTGAGATCGGTGCTGATCATCTCGTCATTTATCCTGCTGATAGGGCTCAGGGCCAACGCCTTCGCCTCGGTGTTGAGAACCAAACAGCCAGCACAAGGGAGCAGTTCGCCTCGCGGATGCCTCACTCACACAGCCACAAACTTGTGCAATTATTTTCCTTGGGATGGCTCTGTCAGCACATAACTACACATTTCGGGCCTAGAATCTGACAGAATGAAGTTCGGCCGGTAGAGACTCAGAGACGGACAACACTTTTGCTTGAGAGGTATAACATCTTGTAGCCTCTTTCAACCTACTCATCTTAAGCAAAGCGGTTTATATTTGACCCTCGACCGCCCAAAATTGCCCTCCATGGATGTCAACGACAGGCAGTCCCTTATTACAAGACTCAAAAGTTCGGTCCCTCTTTTGTTCCGAAAGCGTCAAACCATGTCTAAACCCGAAGAGTTCCGAGCGACTGACACCATAACCCACCGCTATGCCGATGCCGATGTTTTGAAGCGGATGCTTGTCAAATTCAAGTTTACCGAGAATACAATCAAGATAAGGGTACGTTAGCACTGACCGGGTTTGCCTTACTACGGATGTATGCATATATGTTAACTGGTCACGCAGGCTACCAAGGCGAAGGGATTCGAAGTGCAGCTTTCCAGGCGTCTGACAGCTGTAAGTTTCAAGGTACTATAAAGGGCAGACAACTGACCAGATCAGGAAGAGAAAGAGGAAATCATGACCGAGTTTGAGGAGGAAGCTGAGAAAAGAGCCATGGCGGCGCTGTACTGATTCATTCTATCGCAGTTGTCTCATCGTCAGTTAGATAGCTTTCTTTGTCAAAGAGTCCCACGACTCAAAACTAAAAGCCATGGTAGTGGGTTTCCACCAGGCTTCACCAATCAAGACTTTTCTTCCATGCCATTTGACCGCTGTTTCAATATTGAAATGGCTACAAGCCTAGTATGCATTTAATGTCTCTTCATTTTCCGCAAATAACGAGCTGACATTGGAATCCTAAGTTCAAAGTCTAACTAATAGAATTCATCCATACCTGCAAGAAGTCCCGAACTTCACTTGATGAATCTCGTCCACAGCTATCGATGACCAACATCTTCTGTTCGATGTAATCCAGGAGCTCCGCTAAAGCATGACCCGGTTCCATATGACCTCGAAGATCTCGCATATGCTTTGTCAACCTTTAGTAAGCCTCATGCGTGAAGGATGCTTGAGCCTGGTATGGCTTGCGGTCGTTGATGACCTCTATGTAAGTCACTCACCGAAATAACGGCTGGCTTGATTTTTGCAACCATGCTGCTTATTGCCCTTCCTAGACACCAGCTACGCCGAGTGACTCTTTCTTTGACAAAGAAGACATCCTCTTCAATGACGTAACCTCCAGTTTCGGTTTCATCAGCTTCAAGGCGTGCTTCTTCGAATTCTTGTACCCCTGACCAGCCAAAGATGGCCCAGGTAATGAAATCGAGATAAAGACACCCCAAACACCAGATATCCCATTTCTGACCTACAGTTGAGTCCTCAATATCTCTTTCGGGAGGCCTGTAGGATTTCGTCTCGGCAATTTGCTTCGGTCGGAAGGTGGATTGGCTATCGGCGGGTAGTGACAGACCGAAGTCTGTTAACTTGAGCGTAAAAGTCGCATTTCCATTACTGAAATCATCAAAGCACAGAATATTTTCTGGCTTGATATCGTGATGGAGCTGTGCCTGAACAGAAACGCCTCCTTCATTCGATGGATGGCCATGAACGGTAGACAAGGCATCGGCAATATTGTAACACTGATCTGCCATCCACTTCAGTGAAAACCAGGAAGCTACTACACCCCCGAGACCTGGGTAAGGGTCGTAGGCCTTCCATAAACGCTGAAGATTACCCCCGTTTGCCCAGGGAAACAAGAGATAGAACTTATTCCTATGTTTGAAGGCTGCAAGAAGAGGAGTAATTCGTGGATGCGTGGCTCGCTGATTAGCTGCCATTTCATTCTTGAACTCATTCTCGGCAGCCGTAAGTACCTTGCCCCTTTCGAGTATTTTCAACGCAAACGATTTTCCTTCCGCTTCCTGTTGGTTTCAATGGTGTTAAAGACGTGAAGGTAGAAATGCACGAGATGCGCATGGGAAGGCCAAGCCGTTACTTACAAACTCACAATGATCTGCGTGGATACCGATCTTGTGCACAGATGATAACTTACCACCCATCTTTCCTTCCTCTTCCTCGGTTGTTGTCCAGGGTAGACTTACTTGGTCATGGATAATAAAATGACCAAAGTCGGGAGAAGTCGGCATTAAACTCGGGAAATAAGGGGATCTCATCTGCCACTGCAAGTGGATGAAAAGCTCCTCCTCATTACCTTCGAGGGAGGTCAGGATTTTCAGAAGGTCTGAAGCAGCTGGACTTTCAGCGGTCGAGCCGTCAAGTGGCCACGTGCTGTCACAGATGTTGTGTTGAGATCTTTGTATAGGAACAATGTAGCTTTCCCTTCCTAGCAACACCAAACATGCGAATATGATTCTAAGTCCGGTGCATAAGGAGCTTCCACATCGGGAACAACTTTCGCCTACTGGACTGATCTGACTAGCGATGTCCTCAAGGCTTGTCACATCCATACTAGATGGCAAACATGTTGATAGCCATCTCAACACATCGTTGTAGTTGATCTCGGAAATTAACCAGCGTCGTGGTATAAAGCGATTTCGGCTATCGTTGACGTCTTTTTGCGATATTCGAAGTAGTGTGCGACTAATCTCGTCTCGGGTAGCCCCAACACAATGGCGGCATCGTTGTAAGTCGCATTGGCAATCGGCATTCGAAGCAAATCTCGGCATCTGCGTGAAGAGATGGTTAGCGCGCGAACTCTGCCAACACACAACATCTCGCAGCATGTAAGTTGGATGATGCATATGCAGTGGATGCACTACGAAACATGCGGCATATCAATCCCCGAGGTTGGCACTGCTGCCCGATGCTCTTCGTCGAATCAACAAACATAGGGTTTATGAGCTAGTCACTACTTACGGTTGATTTGCTCGGACCCCGATCCATGCTTGGTACTTTATGTTGTGATGATTATTGGTATGATTGTCGGAAGTCTCTGGGTTAATATGCGGCTGATTGGACACAGGAATGGAGTCTGACTTCGAATTATGTTGATGAAGTAGAAAGTGGAAAGAAGTGCTCTTTTGAGAGCCGGCGATTTGGCGGTCGGTGAGGCAACCCTGACTGCAGGCTCCAGGCAGATAGATGGCTTGGAGTTAGAAGACTCAGGCAGAGTCATGTTTCGCTGACATGCATCGCCTCCTGAGCACATGCGGCAACATCAGGCTGCGCCCTAGAGCTTCACCGCAGTATGAAATCGGGAGAAAAAGATAAAAAGTGAGGGGCACTATGCCATCTCAGCTCCCACGTTCCAAACTCCCTCATCCGGTGCAGCATCCGCGTGCGACCAACATTTCGCAAGCCCCGGTGAGATTGGACCACCACCTAGGAAGGCTTCTTGGTGCCAACCGACGTAACCCGGTGTGGGCTGGCGTGCTGGATGTCCGGCCTTCGCCCAATCAGTGCCTCTCAAGACCAATGGTGCACACCCGAGCGAAGCCCACAGCCTGCTTCACCACACCACATCACTTTGTACCAGCGTCCTCTCTTATCTCAGTACTGGCGTCAAAAAGAACACCCAGGCCGAGAAGAAACCTGCATTTTCGCTTGTGCATCAACTACCCCTCATTGTCAGTCTTGGGAATTTGTCCAGATACTTAGCTTATACATTCTTCGGGTCGCATTGGCAAATTTTCTCGGACATGCGCTTGCAAAATTGACTGGCTTGATATCATTGATCGACGAGATGGTCAAGCTGATCTCTTCTTCTGAGGGCGATGTAATGCGCAGCATTGCCCTGCTCCCTGTTCAGGCCATGTTCAAGGCAGTCTGGGGCTCGCTTCAGACTCGGGAGTGAGACTGACGTGCAACAATAAGAAACAATAGTTTAACAGGACACTTAGCCACCCCCAAACTATTCAAGAATCTGGCCATGTCCACATCATCAGGAATACCCTAGCGCAAGAGCCTGCCCGATACCACACTACACTATTCTATCTGCTGATACTGAGAGGCTGAGACCGCATCTTTAACGAGCAGCTGTCGCAAACAGGCGCATCTCCGAGAATGAACTACTTGACCGCCATTTTCTATCCATCTCCAAGGTCGTACTCTTTCCAGAGCGACATCGATCCCTATTCCCCGGCGTCAAGCCGGCGAAGCACAGGATTTTCGTCCACATCATCCTCCTCTACGTATAGACGAATCTACGGCGAAGAACAAATGATCGAAGGACGTTATATTGACAGGAGGAAGCTGCAGGAGCTTTTGAAGGATAGATTTGGTCACCAATACAGGCTGCAGGTGTGTTGCCCTCAGTTCGCTGCACTCAATTCAGGGACGTCAATAGCAACTAATGATGATTTTATTCTTTTGCAGATGCGGTCGAACAACTACCGACTGTATGCTGGAAGACGATTGAGCGAAGAGGAGATTTTAAGTTGTTGTTAACCTACCTTAGTATCTTGGAGTGTCTTGCCTTTGACTTTGTCCTCTCCTTGGGTCTCGCGTCTCTCGCCCAGCCTGCCTCGGCTGTATTGATTATTTCTTCAGCTGTGTTATCTCGTCACTTTCTAATACTTTCCCTGGCTGTATTGTCTAATCTGTCAAAATTTGTTTTCAATTTCTGTTATCTGTCTTCTACAACCTACTGGTTCTTGTATTAGTCTTCTAGTTTCGGTTTTCTCCCTATGGTTGAACGATCGTCTACGCCCAGCAAAGGCCTGTGCTTATGCAGTATTTGCAGAAGGAAGGTACATTGGTAAAGGATCTAAGGAATTTACATGCTAGGTATTTGACCCTGGGGGGACCTTAGTACCATCAGGACAATCTAAACCTAAATTTAACTGCATAAAGAATAGCAGAGCGTCTAGAGGTCTTCTGAATCTACGGGAGCTGATCTCGTCACATGTCCGGATTATGAATTCGATCCTGACGAACAACGAGCGGGAATCATGGTACCAGTTCTACCAGGAATTGTCTATTGAACGTGAATGTGTAGCAATGTCGAGCTAATTCACTGATAAGTACACGTTGTTTTGCTTGAAGAGTCGATACCCAGCACAAATCACCATCGGCGCAGGGGTGATATGCCCAGGGGTTGTATGGAGCATCATTCTGTGAGAATGCTGGACCTGTAGACGTGCAACCTAATGAAAAGCTTGGAATCTACACATAATTCGTGAACAACGGCACTTTAGAATTGAACTGCTCCCTTGCAATACAAAGTCACTCGTTCAGTGAAAGTCGTCGCCCAAAGCAGACCTGAAGAGGGCCTATCCCATCGACTGCTACAAGGCGACAGTACAATGGTCTCCAGCTTTTCTCCAAATTCTCTGAGATATGAATTTTTTAAATTGCGGATATAGTGGAAATAAATCGGAATAACGCCTGATTGGTTCTTCTCCTGCACTCGGATGTACTGTCGCCTTGCAGCAGTCGATGGGATAGTTAGTCGTTGCAATCCTCTGCAGCATTTCCGGCAAGACCCGCTAAACTGTACTTTTGAGCACATCAGATAAGACCGGCGTTCCTCAATCCTCGATCTGGCTGGGAAATGTGAGCGTCGGTTGCGGTGCGACTTTTCCTGGCACGTGCTATTCAATTGGGTACAGTCACACGATAAGAGCCACAGGGATCATTCTCAAGAGGTTTTCCATCTCAGAACTTAAATTGGATGACAAGTGAACCAGGCCTGTGGCAATTATTGTAGCATCTCCGTAGAGGAGCCCTGCGCCAACACATACTCTCACTCAATGATCATCTCTTCAATGAAAGAGGCCCGAGACCAGATGTCCATATTCATGAAATATTCTGAACACACATCAGATGCTGTGACCACGAACGAGCTCTCCAATTCGTTAAACCACCCACATGGGTTGTGAGATTCCATCATGCCGTTAGTGAGCAGAGGCGTCTCGAACGTGTCTGATCCCCCTTCGAGCCATCTCAAAAGAGACGATAGTTGAAAGTGATCTGAGATGGCTGCATCATCAACATTGACCTTTCGGTAAGTGAGAAGTTCTGTTTGAATTGTCGCCCAGAGAACGCCGAGATTCTGGTTAACACGGGGAAGGCCGATGAGATCATGTGCTTCGAACAGCGGGCACTCACCCCACTCATCATGCAATGAGCTGCTATCGCTCTCATTTGATGTTTCGCCTCGGTCTTCATCGTTGTTGAATCGATCACACAGATTCGATTCGAAGCTAAACTTCATGAACTGCTCGTGTTGCTGTGAGGACGGAGTTGTATGGCGCAAAACCATCAAGAAACATCTCCAGCCAAGCTTGGAAGAAGCCCCCCAACCTTCACTAACTGCTCTTGGAACTTGGTCCGCCAATTCTAAAGCAGTCATGGATCTATGGCGACACACTTCTTCATCAGGAGACGAGAATATGTCGAGCACTGACAAGTCTGCAACTTGAGCGGGGTCGGCCCCTAGTACAAGGAGACAGACGAGACAAGCCAGTGCCCCAAACAGCGTTTCGCCACTCTTTCCATTCTCTGCCAGATGGAAAGCGACAGCCACAAGAGTATGCAGCGGGCCTAGTTTCATCTCAAGCCCGCAGCTGGTGCAACGTCGTCGAAAGAGGCCGCTGACGGTGTTGATGTTTGGCCTTGACGAAGGCAAAAACATTGCCATCATGCTGTGGCACACGGCCTGTACAGAGCTGTGACAGAAATTGTGCTTCCAATAGTCCGGAATTCTCGCTTGTCCAGATTTGTAGAGCTGTCGTAGTTCTGGTGAGTTGGCATCCCATCGCCCACAAATATCCTTCTCTTCGCCTGGAAAGCGAGTGCATTGAACGAACCTTGTGCTGACTTCTGCCGGAGAAAGGTTCGTGTGGGAGCGCAAGACTGAAATCATAAGACAGTCTAACACAGTATGTTCGTTGGAGTCCACGTTGTTGAGAGCGATGGGATAATGGCAGCCTCGCAATTGCAGAGTAAGATGATGGAGCATAAGACAACAGGTTCTTCCTCCATCTAGAAAGGATGCCGCAAGATGGTATGGGTAGATACCCGTGAAGTCCAGTCTCCAAGTCTTGGCTGAAAGCCGCATTTCGGAAAGAGTTTTTGAGATAAGTTCTATGTTGCCAGCCATAATGGCAAATGCCAACGAGTCCAATGCCAATGGCATGTCAGATGTCGAAATGACCTCTGAAACGACCTCACAAGCGATCGGAACCTCCTCGGGGGCAGTTGTGCTGAATCGATTGTTGATAAAGGTTTCATGAATGGAGCTTTGGTAGGATTGGGACCTCCGAGAGTCTGGCCACTCAGTCCATGATGATTGATCACCGAGATCAAAGTCCGCTTGCTCTTCACGTGGAGTAGAGGGCAAAGGCTCGTATTCCACTAAATCCGATTGATGTATGGCCCAACGACATATTTGTGTTGGTCGCGGACCTTCGGCAGAACGGGATCCGGGTGGAGATTGTCCAGAGATCCTTGCGAGAGGTGAGTGAGAGTTCTGAGGCGTTCCATCAGTGGGTGAGCCAAGTGTAAATTCTGCGACCATTCTGGCTGTCCATTCTTGAGGACCGGTGCCCCAGAACTTAGCCGTCACGAAGCAGTACATCCAATAGTCATGCAGCCAGTCGGAGATTGTTCTGGAAAGTAATCAGCAATATGAACCAGCAGAACCGTTGGCAGGAAAACTACACCTTCTGTCATTGACATTGCATCCCCTCAACAACTCTTCTCTGCGGCCTTGTAGAAGCAGGCTAGACCGGTCCAGCAATGTCTTCTTCCGAATGAGAGCAACACCAGGAGACAGATCAAAAGCTTGGCCAGTCGATGCTTCTGGACTGTTGATTTGGAGATATTGCGGGGTCGGTGGATTACAGTTGAACGGAGACGATTGATCGTCTTGCCTCCCGAGCGAGGCACGGTACGCGATGTATGGCAGGTTCCACTGAGAAACTCTGGAATTCCGTCTGGTTAGACTCTGATCTGTTGGGATGGTGGTGGGAATGAAAGCTTACATGCCAGGGATCAATGACGGGACAGAGTGGTGACGGATACTGTCTTTGATGAACCGCTTCATCTGTTTGCTGTCCATGGGCATCATCGACTCCCCTTGTCGAATCTTCACATCCGAGGTGTTGCCTCCGACACGATTGCGCTTCCCGAGGGCGGTGATCGCCGCAGTCTTCTCTACCTTCTTCGTATTTTTTCGAATGTGCCACTGGCGGAGACGATAGCGATAGTGAGCGGGCCTATTTGCGGCGTACGTTAGATGACAGGATGACAAGTTTATGCTAATGCTATTCTCGGGAGAAAGGCTGACTAACAATGCATTAAAGCCATGTTGCTCCTTCATGAAGTCGGAAAGTTTGTCTAATGTGAGTGGGCTGCTTGTAGCGTCTCCCAAAAAGGCCTGGACGATTATATCCTTGAGGTAGTCCCATCGTTTCTCAAAAAGAACGTCATGGAACGTAACCTGCCGGGGCGGGCCATAGGCTATCGGGGCGTCCATTACTACGCCACGGAGAATCGAGGCAACAATGATATCTGGGCCGTTAAGGAAGAAATCGAACCAATTGCAGGTGCAGGTTCAGGAACTCAAGATAGACTCGAGAACGTGTTCAGGGGAACCACCCAACAAATCGATATATGAAGGCAAAAAATGATCGATAGGGGTGTTGAATATTGACCAAGATGGGTATGGGGGAAGGAATCAAAACGCTTCGAGGAGGCAGACCCATGGAGTTTTATTCCACCGACCTCGTGGCGGTCGCCTTGAGATTTAAGGCAGCGGATGCCTCGTTTTGAACAATCCCGGTATGCAGCTGAAGCAGCCCTTCATCCCATGTCTCTTGTCTGTGCAACTCACAAAAGGCGACTCACCAATCAGGGCTTCATGAACGACGCCTCACAGTAGTAGCGGTGGTGGCCAAGCCTCCACAACCCCAACAACTATCCAATGATGGGCGATACAAAAGGAGAGAGGCCAATCAACCGGGTCAACGAACGCCAAATATCCACTCACCTCCGCGTTGGCAGTCGTGCTTCCAAGGAGGCTCTGTTGCACGTTGCATGCTTAGCTGTCATGCTGCCCCTTCCTCTGTCTCCCGCCCAATTTAGCTCTACGGACGCCCCGCCATGTCATTCCTTGCCAGCGAATAAGTGGACGAAACAAAAGGCAACTGGCCAATGAGAATGCCACCATTCATTGCGCCGAGACCGGTTGATCAACCCATTTTGTAAACTGACGCTAGTGTGGTTTCTGCAGGGCCTGGCCGGAAGCCGTTCCCTCCAACGACCACCATGCACAAAAGGTGAGGATCCAATAGGATGCCAGGGTTTCTAAATGTTAAGTGCATCGCTCACCGTGCCTTCATGACGACTGTGACACGCAAGATTCTGCTCGCCCATCCCGTGTTGACTCTTAGGCCTGCCTGCGATGTTATGGTGAGACTTACAAAAGGGGAATGGCCAATGGCGTTCGATTTTGGTAGGAAAAATGGAGACCACATCGACCTTGAGTTGGTGAAAGTCAACTGACGGATGCAGATCTGGACTGTATGTGCCCGGCTTTACTGTGCTCAACTGCTCTACCATTCATATGTCTGCCTGATGTGGGAGGAAAGGGCGATGTGTAGTAGGGCGGCAGTGCCCGAGCCTGTAAGTAGGTTAATATTTATCAATGCTTGACTGGGAGGTTTCTAGAATGATAAATATCTCGTTCAAACCCTCGGTTTCTCTTGTCTTCTTGATACCAGTCTATCCTCTCTACACATACCTTCACTGATCGACTCTTGGATACTTTAGTTAATCTGCAATCTTCAGAGCGTATCAACAATTACCCACTCCTCATATCCCAGCCATTCCACCTACCTAGTGATCCAATTTACAAACGCAATCTACACATAGCCATGGGATCGTCACGCAAAAACAACCAGCCCGCGTAAGTTTTCGTCTCCAGGAGCCAATATTGGTTTTGCTATTCCATCCTCATCTCTAAATTTTCAATTCGCAGTCCCGCCCCTCCTTTCTCCGTGGACGAGGAGACATCAAGCACGACCGCCCGCTGCGGTTCGCCATCCAGATCGAAGTCGAAGACTACGAAAACCAATAAGGCTGTCCAGAGGAAGGGCAAGAAGAGTAGCAAGGATGAGCACGTAGACGAGGATTTGGCCTTCATGGGAGCACACTTCTCGTAATATCTTCTAGGTCACAGAGCTTGGGATATTATACGGGGTAAGGTACTGGGGATTCTGCGGTTCCATTCCGAAACATCAGTGTACTTGGGCAACTGGGACACATACACACGGCTACGTTGGCGGTTCCCACGTGCATTAGGCAGGCTGGGGGCGATAATCATTGATCAAGTCTTCCCCAGTTCAGGGTGCAATCCTAGCAGTTTTTGCCTCGTCATGACACCGTAAAGGAAGCTGGCCAAGAGGCTTATGATGAATCTGAAGCCACCTTGCAACATTGAAGCAAGCTGAAAAGCGAACGCCGAGTCTTTCCGCTGCATGCTACATGCACTTGGGCAAGCATGGTCCGCTGAGATGTTGTAAAGGTACAAAACGTAGAAGGTCATTCCACTTCGATTCGGCTGCCCTGTACAAGAATCAATCATCAATACTAAGCCTCCTTTCAGAACACTTGAGTAACTATCTCCTTAGTTATACCCATCGTAAAGCGCTTTCATATGGATAATGAGACCAAATTCTTCCATTCCTAAACGGCGAGGCGAAGTCGGTTGATACACGGATTGAGTCATCAATTAGAGGTGCTACAAGAAATTTTCAAAATCAACGCAGAGACCGCACGTGAACATCGGACAGCTTTTTTAATAAACCTTTGAAGTAATGGCATTGAGTGTACATTACACTAACTAGCGAACAACAAAGGATTGTTGTACTTGCCTCTAGTAGCACACCAGCCATGGAGTTATTCTTTTTTGGAAATCTCCTAACCCAGCATTTCATGTTATCGTCTCGATGATGCGGCACCTTATTCAATTGAAATGCGATTCCCTCACACCATCATTCGTCTCCTATTATTCTTCCATACGTAGAGTCAAACTTGTTACCCATGACTGCCTACTAATTACTTAGTGCTCTGTTGTAACCCAAATTTTAGACAGAGGAAGTGTATTATTAAAGCTTTGCAATCAACCTCGTGTGAGACTTAAGAGAAGATAGCTGATTGCAGGATCGGTAAGAACCGATTCCGGTCGCACATTTATAACTCATTTGTGACGGAATAATGATGAACGAATTTTTCTTTACAAGTAGCACTTGCATTGCTCAGGTAGTACGGAGTCATAGATGTTTGTGTAGCTGACATGATGGACGGAGTAAAACCGGATGAACCCAGATTCCTGAATCCGTACAGCGTCGAGACACGACCCGTTCATGAAATTTTGCCAGTCTGATATCGGGCTGATTACGTCGACGTTGTTGTATTCGCCCGACGGACTATGCTCACAACGAATTTCCACCGGCTTTTGTGGATATAGTAACAGTTAGAATACAGTTGTGACTGGGACTGAGTCAGGATGCGAGGTCCACTTTTACTTCGTGGAAGTCAAGAGCCAAGAAGCTCAAGAGCACCGATAAGTAATGTTGAAAAGTTGATTATTATTCAGGGTCAGTTCAATTTAGTTAGTCATGGGTTCGCAGTGCAATTCATCCACGAATACCTGCCACACGACTCGTGTTGCATGCCAGCTCCGTCCTGAGGCAGTTGCTATCGATGACAATTAAGCTTTTTTCGGAATCTAAAGCAATAAGAGTCGATGATAGTTCTCCTAGAAATTTGTATATAACATCACCTTTTCTCCAATTGACAAGAGCTAGTAAAAGAACCTTTCAACCATCACAATCAATTCACCTTGTCTAAGCCGTTCGAAACATCAAATCAACCAGCGAATCAACAACAAGATCATCATCGTCAATTTCAGACATTCAAAATGAAGTTCACTATCTTCGTCACTGCCTTCGCCATCATCAGCGGCGTAGCTGCAAAGGTATGTCCAAGTCACTTAGCAACAAACGTTTCGCTGTGAACTATTTGGTGTTAGTCTAGCGCTAACCCATGATACAGGACTGCTGCTGCAACGTTCTGCCCGCCAACGAGTGCGATTGCAAGGGTCCGTATGCTGACAACGTCAACTGTGACGAGATCTGCCGCATCAGGAATAGCTTCAGCTGCTGAGCCGCATAAGACATGAGATGGATTGACACCAATCTGGAGTCTGAATTGGAGTCTTCGATGGAGGCGGATATGAGATAGACACTGCTTGAATTGGACGATGTGGGATGCTTTGTTACAGCGGGTTTCCATTACATATCACTGCCAATACGTAGCTCATTTGTCCAGCAATATGGTCTCCGGTATAGGATTGCAGTATACGGTTGATCTTACAAATGAATGTTTGATAACATTAGAGTTGAGCATGACGTTCCAATGGGGTGCTTAGTGAGTGCTGGTAAGGTTGTCTGTTAGATCTGTCCGCATTTCCCATACCGACCAATACATAATGCAAAATGCTGTAAGTGGGCTGCTTGTGGTCGCAGTCAGTACCTTACATATAAAATGCGGAGATGATAGACCCGTTGGTCTCCTCGAGAACATGAATCTTTCCGTTCGTATTATGAATGTTATATCGCATTATATTACTAACCCAGCATAACTCGGATATTGATTGAAGGAAGAAAGTGTAAACTCGAGGCGAGAGAAAAAAACCATTTCCAGACTTGGGTCTAGTTTTAATTGGGTTCAATATGCTTACCCCGGAGCTATTGGACGAACAGTAGTTCACTGGATCTTGGCGGGTAGCAACCTGAAGCAGCACAAGGATCGTGTTGTAACCTTCTCTCGGAGGCCTCGCTCCGGTTTCGACCCCGGAGACAGGAGATTCGTGGAATATGACCCCTTATACTTCGCTAGTGGCCGGAAAGACTTCTCTGATATTGAGAAGCTCTTGGGAGTTCTTCCAAAGCGTTCGTGAAGGCCGAGAAAGCGACCGCTCGTTAACATCATGTGAGCATCGACAGTGATGATATGGGAGTCACTGAGATGGCAGCTTTATTTAAGAGTTGATCCGTCAGCCGAGCTTGATCGAGACGATTGGATTCCAAACAACCTAAAGGTTTGAAAGAATTAAGTTAAAGTCATACGTCTAGAAGTCGCCAGTACAGCAGCAAAATGAAGTTTTCGCCAACCGCTTTTCTCGCTGTGGCAGTCGCCTCTGCCGAGGCCCACTGTAAGTCTGACTGTCAATCATACGCATCTCACAATAGGCACAAAGTCGGCGCTGCACACAAAACAATACAAGGTAGCTCTGACTTCTTTGACCACAGACACCTTTGGTCGCCTCGTCTACGGCGGCACAACCTACCCCGAATGGCAACACGTGCGCAAGACGCTCAATTTCTACACCAACGGCCCGGCCGACGGTGTATCGTCGACGCAGATTCGCTGCTATGAAGCAGACGCCGCTGACCGCGGCACGGTGACAACGCTGCCGGTATCGGCAGGCTCGACAATCGGGTTTGCGGCCAACGGGGTCGTAGGACACCCGGGACCGGCGAGCTTCTACATGGCCAAGGTGCCGACCGGCCAAACCGCGGCGACGTGGGACGGCAGCGGGGCAGTGTGGTTCAAGATCTACCACGAGAGGCCGACTATTACGAGCAGTGGATTGGAGTGGGCTTCTACCAGTGAGTTGTTTCCAATTTTCTGCCTTCTTTTTTGTTGTATCCGGAACAATATGACGGAGAAGAGACTCGGAGAGTGGTGAAGCAAATCTTGGAAATGGGGGAAACAGGGCAGAAAAGAGGAGAAATGCAGAGACTAGAAGGCTTTCTGCGGGTTTCAAAAGAATAGGGACCCTCCAACTTTTGTGGAGAGTGTGTGAATCGCGTGCCCGCAACAGATTCCCTTCGCATAGGGCTGATTCAGTGATTTGTGGGCTCGTGGGGGTTTTCTCGTCAGTTGGACAAGCAAAAGCTAATTATGAATAACGTCACAGACACTCAAGTCCTCTCCACCAAGATTCCGGCGTGCATCCCATCAGGCGAGTACCTCGTCCGCGTCGAGCACCTGGCGCTCCATGGCGCCGCCACGGAGGGCGGAGCGCAATTCTACCTCGCATGCGCGCAGGTTTCCGTATCCGGGGGCGGGAGCACCAGCCCGTCGGGCCTCGTGTCGTTCCCGGGGGCGTACAAGTCCACGGACCCGGGGATCCTATTCCAGCCGTACTGGCCCACGCCGACGAGCTACACTAACCCGGGACCGGCCCCGTTCAGCTGCTGAAAAGCTTGTGAGGGAGATGCCGGGATTCCGGGAGCTCGGGAGGCGAGGACCGGGGTGGTTTCTGGATGGTTTGAGTTGATGGGAGGGTTCCACTTCCCGTCCCAGGGACCGTTCATCCGTCTGATGGTTGATGGGACGTAATGGTGGTCTAGGCTGAGCATGATTCAGCGGACTTTGATTCAACTGATTTCCAGGTTTTTGTTGGGGTTCACTTCAATAGGAGACTACGTACCTTACACTATCACACTGCCTATGTCATTCTGAGCCTGGGACATGATCTGAGAGTCTCGACCATCATTTCCCCTCTTCCCCCGGTTGCCCCAGGAAAGCCACCCAAGCCACCTGGAGTAGCGTAGGTCGCCGGATTGGAATGTAGCGGAGGTTTCCCTCCTGGCGACTGGCTCATGGGCTATTTCCAGCATATAATCTGGCGGACTAGCGCGGTGCGGTGGCTGTTTGGGTTAGGTCCGCGCGTCCCGCTTATGGTTAGGGATGGTCCTGGATGGTGAGGGATGAGATGTTCGGCTGGCCGCCACAGGGATGCGGGTGATGTCAGGAATTGCGGGGATTTGTACGTCATTCACGCGAGAGGTGTGGCGCAAAGCTTGAGATCTTCATCGTGCCCTTCTTTCTCTCACTCGTGTTTCCCTCGCTCTCTCACTCGATGATGTCTCTGCTCAGTCACACCACCCCCGGCCAGGCCACGTCGCCTGCTGTTTTGTCCTGAGCTCCCGTAATTCCCATCGCTCGATCGTTTTCAGTGCCCATTCATATTGAAAGTACCTTACTTACCTAATCCCCCCTAACTACGTCTCCGTGGTCTGGCCTGATTCCCATCCGTGATCTGCATAGATCTACAACCTAAGCTCACCTCCTACAAGTACAATTCACGCCGAGAAGCTCGATACCTCCCGTCCCCGAGTGCTACCCTGTTTCCACATTCCCATCATCTCGTCAAACCCATCTACACCTATCGAAATCGCGACAAAACTCACCTTCTGGAGGCAACACATGCTCTCGTCACAGTCGATTAAACAGATTACCAACCCCTTACCGCACCCCCATCGAAAGATATCATGATGAAGATGAACACGGTCACGATGGATGAGTACGGAGCTCCGTGCTTCCCTCACGAGACCCTTCTCACCCCTCCCGAGTCCCCCGAGCTCAAGCCTCCCGAGGTCCCCGAAGTCAAAGAAGCTGCTTCCGGCAACACCACCAGCATTCCCATCCGCAAGAGCAGAAGCCCCTCCTCCAAGAGATGGAATGGCGACGGCAAGGGAATCCAGGTCGATATCGGTGCCCGCCTGCGCGAGTACCTCGACTGCCTCAACAACCGCAAATTCGATGTCATCGGCAACCACCTGGCCGACACTCTGATGCGCAACAACCGCAGCCAGACACGCGAAGAGCACGTTGAACGTCTTCGATCGCGCGTCGAGGGCCTCGCGAGCTTCAAGATCAAAATCGACACCCTCCTCGTCGACAAGAAGGCCCAGGCCGTGGCCGTGCGATACATCAACCGCGTCACGCTCGCCGAAGCAATGATGGACGTCGACCCCGTCGGCACGACGTACGAATTCGACGAGCAGTGTTTCGTGTGGTTCGACGACAGGGGCAAGATCTCGCGCATGCTTACGCTGCAGGATAACGACGGCATTCGCCTGCAGACACCCGAGGCCGCGACCACGCCACGCTTCTTCATGCGGAGTCTTCCCGCGGAACCCATTGATCTGGCGGCAACCTACCGTAAGTACGTCGCCAGCATCAACCGGCGTAGCATGGTCAAGGAGTTCCCTCGCTACTGCAAGAAGGAGCTGCGACACAACAACCGCGTTCTCTCGGTGCAGGACTACGCGCGCAGCATGCAGTACAGCCAAGAAGCGATTTCGGGACTGTGGTTCAACATCCAGGAGTTGCTCGTCGATGAGGAGACGCAGCAGGTTGCTGTGAGGCTGCAGATCTCGGGGACGCCGGTGCAGGAGTTTGCGGACGCGAAGCCGAACGGGAAGAGTGTCAAGTTTCACCAGCACTGTATGTATCGCTACGACAAGGGCAAGATTGCCCTCGTATGGGCGACGATGGAGCTTGATTCGTACCGCAGACAGTTGCAGGAGAAGCCTGGTGACAGGAGAACGTCGTCTATGTTGGGCATCAACTGAGCCCAGAGACACAACTACTTCAACAGGGCTGTATTGTATTATTAGCTTACGATTTGACGGACTTTGGGTTTACTTTGGAAAGACAGGAGCCGGAAAGGTTCGGAGCGTGGCGCTCTGACGCTGGGAGTTTTGGATCTTTCTGGGTTCAGGGTCAGCTTTGAGATAAATGTAATACGCGGTTGCTACATGGCAACATATCTCCCCTGAAAGAATTTAGACACGATTCTCGGTGACAATGCACACACAACCTACTAATTCATATCCAACTGCCACGGAGTTAGCAACGGGAATACCATCCAGATGCTATTCTACTAAGTCTCCAAATTGGCATATCCGCTATCATTCGACATCACCTCAGGTCAAGGAGTAGGTCATAACTAACGATGCCAGATCATGAGAGCCCTGGATGTCAGACAAAGTCCTCAAATGAGGAGACTTGCACAAAAACAGCACGTTGTCTTTCGATCTTGATTGATACCCCGTAACAGCAGAGTGTTGGGCAAGGGATCGCTATCTCATCTACTTATCAATCGTCTGTTACCATCATTCATTCCGCTTCATGTCGCGCTTAGGCGGTTCTTTTGAGATTAAGTCTGCCGTCTTGTGCAGGGATCAATGCCGGGCAAACTCAGGCGCGTTTGTCCCCTTAGTCCTACCTCTAATCCTTACGACGCAGGTTATGCTGAGGACTGCATCTTGCCGCAGAAGGAAATCTGCGGCATCCAATCGACTATGCTCCAGTGCAAGACCGAGTAGGAAGCCGTGTCCCTCTCTACAGATACTTTGGTATCTGCTCCACTCCCAAAAGCAACCTCGTTATGTTGGGTTGGTCACTGGGAATGACTTCTGTCAAAGATAGATAGATCTACCTAAGTATTTTGGGTAGGTACATACCCTTTCGGAACTTATCGCTTGGGCACCCGTCAGCTCAGATACCGTGCCGAGATCGAAGCATCATTGTGGAAAACGTGCCACCACAATGCATTGAGTGAAAAGTTCTTTGCATAAGCCAAAGGAGTTCACGATTGTTTGGGCTGCCGCTTGCTGTGTAATTACACCCAGATGTCGTGGTAAAAGCAGGTACTGTCAATAATATGAAGCACGATATCATTCGATAGCAACACGATGTAGTCCACTACACAAACAAGAGTAACAATGAAGCCCGATGATACAATGTGCAGCCGCTTTCAGGTTCGATCTCAATGGGATTTCGTAGAGGGGCGTTTAACAGCCAGAAAGTATGCTCATATCCCGATCATTTCGATACCTCTACCCCATTAGTAGCACCTACAACCATATGATTAGCTTAGACATGGATAGAAAGCCAAATATCCATACCCAGAGCCGTTTTAATGCTGCCATAGATGGCAAACTGGCCAGCGGTGAGCCCACCAATCATAAACAGACGTGCCGGAAGCCCAGAAAATGAACCACGGAGTCCAAGCTCGCCCGCAATCTTGTACAGACGAAACGCGGTACTTTCACCAGGCAATCCCTTTGTCTTGTTGATTTTGGACAGCATGGTGTCAGCTGGTTGCGAGATGACAGCCGCGGCACAACCTGATAAGAGACCGGATCCCATGTTAATCATGAGCTGGGTAGTGCCGGTCTTGGAGTTGTCGAGACGGGCGAAGAAGAACTCGGAAATCTTTTCGAATGAAACGAATTTTGTAACCGTATAAGGAACTCTTTGCTGGTGTCAGTACGTGCAGCAACGCAGCCCAAGAAGCAGTGAAACACAGCTTACTGTTTGAACAAGATTGGGCCGAATCCGGAGTATAATGCACCAACACCCTCATGCTTCAGAATCTTGCTAAAACCACCTACCAACCCGTTGGCGAAGCCAGGCACGGACACGAGTCGGATACGCGTAGCTTCCGCGGGACAAAGTGTGACAGCAGAACAACATTCAGCACAGGCTGCCGAAACGGAGTAGACTGCCGTACGATTTCTTCTAGCTTTCTCGATTCCAAGGATGTCAATCGATTGTTTCTTGAAGAGTTCATACAGGCCGAACTTGACGCCTCCTTGGATAAAGTAGCCGGTGAATGTCGGGCCCAGACCTGTGAGTAGAGAACCTACACCTTCGTTGCGTATCAGTTGGCGGAAACCCGTGATCATACCGCGGTTATAGGTTGCTGGTTCAAGCTGGATCTTCGTCTTGACACTATGGTATTGTTATGAGTCTGGCATGTGAGAGTCAAGGTGATAAACGACGTACACATCGATGGGCGTGAAGACAGCGTGAGTTATGGAGCAACCCAAAGCACCAGCGAGCGCGAATCGAGCATACAAATCCAGTCCTTCTGGCTTCTGCATGTTGGCTTGAGCCTGAATGGCAGGATATGCGGCAGCCATTGCGAATTTTACGAGCGTGAAGGATACGGCCCCGAGAGAAGCATGTGTGTAACGAGGTGGAACGATGAGGGAGAACATCATTAAGAAAACAGTCTCATGGGACGCATGCTATGACTCGGCGGGTGATACCGGGTTGTCTCGGCGAGCATTGAACGCCGTATATTACTGTCGCCGATTCCCCGCTAGACCCCGACCGGGTACCTTTGTCAGCGGCCGCACATAATATGGGAAATCCGTCTCCATACAAGCCGGAAGAGATATGTAACCGGCCGACATATAACTTCGCCTTCCTCTCTTTTCCTGCTGTCCGCTTGTAGGATTATTGCGACAACAGCGTGGCCTCAATTGTAGGCATACCGCTTTTCCCCGGCCGACGAATCTTATCGGTCCCCGGGTTCCCGGAGGTGTGGACCCCCGAGGATCCGTCAGATGAGCGAATCAAAATCCTTCACTCGGTTCAGGTGGGTCGCAGCTCCGTGCGTCGCCTGATATTGCCCGGAGCTCTCGGTCGATGGGGCTTCCACAGCCGGAGGGGTTATCGGTGGCATATCGCAGTGCACTATCATTTGCCGAAGCAAGCTGCATACGTTTCCATCGTGGTTTTTATATTTCCATTGCTAGCAGACGTTGGTAAATGCTCTGACCCCCCACAGTATGCGATCTTCAGAGTCTTTGAGCAGAAGTAAGTCGGTGCTGAAGAGCAAGAACGATTGATCGGGTCCGAGAAGGTCAGTGTATCGGCGCACGTCAGCTTTCTAGAGCAAAAGTGAAAGACCAATATCTCTATCATTTTATCGAGACTTTTCCATCCAGTTGGTTCGGGTTCCCGCGGGCCTACGGATAGCTAAGCCTCAGGATCCACCGGCGAATACAATCTGCGGACCTGGGGCGATGGAAGGATGACAAGCACCCATGTCAGCTTATCCTGATTGGTGCAGGGATGGCCTGATGCTGATTTCCCCTGAGTCTTGCATGCCCTGCATCTTCGTTTTTGCGGTCAATTGGCAATCGCGAATGTCATTGAGGAGTGGAAATCCAACACATAGGTCGCTGTGATGACTTGCAGTTTGCGAAAGGTACTTGGCATCCACCCTGATGGAAGCCTCTAAAGTTCAGCCCTATTGTCCCACGGGCGGCCTCAAGATGCAGACACACAGTTTGCCCTAGGGCAAACAAACTTGAAAGTTGGGAAATGCCTGAGATCTTAACGGCCGCCAGTTCCAAGATCCCGCCCGCCCAAATATGAACATCCCTGCATTCCCGCCGCCTTGTCTCACCGCCCCCTGCGAGGCGCGAAGAAAGGGTCCAACCTGCTCAGCTGGCAGCTTTGGTCTCGCCCTGTTGGGGGAAGGGGGCCGCCGGCAGGGGAATATTGTTACTGTTACTTCTTTAAGCGACTCGCGCTTACGGGCACTTTCTCAACAGTTTTGTCACACAACTTTCTGCTCGAGAAACACACTGTTTGGTTCCTTTTCGCCTCGGCATCTTCTCGTGGAAAGCTGAGCTGAGCTGAGCTTCGCCTCGACTGCGTGACAAGGACCATGATCGAACCCACCACCGAGATCGCGCATCCGAAGCGCTCTTCGCTTGTCGCATCCAGGGCGCCCAGGCTTGCTCACTCACAAAAGTTAAAGACCATTGACACGAGCCGGAGGAAGAAGCTCGTCCAATGGCTCTTTGATAACCAGACAAGTACGTCGCGAAGAGTGGAGGGAAGCTGACCACATCTACCGATGCCGTGCATCACACCCATTTATCCTACGAGTCAATGCTGACCTGAAGTTCTCTAATTGAACAGACCTTGCCTTCCATACAACTGCCCCTCTACTCCTCACACACATCTGCATCCCCGCGGCACGTCCGTATACATCCAAGTTCATCAAACTCTCATATTACAACACGACAACCGGCAAGTATGGCGCCGGCCACGACGACCTCTATTTTGTCGCATTCTGCGTGGTTCTCCTCATTGGCATCCGAGCCGCGCTGATGCGCCACGTTCTTGAGCCCCTCGGCCGGCATTGGGGCATATCGAAGAAGAAGGATGTCGCGAGGTTCTCAGAACAGGGCTCGATGCTCACGTACTACAGTGTCCTATGGCCAGTGGGAATGGTACAGTAGATTTGCATTCTCACCTCGTGGGCATCTTGTCAACTAACCGGCGAGTTCCTAGTACCTCTATTGCAAGGCGCCATACTACCTTAACATGAAGGAGCTGTGGAACAATTGGCCCCAGCGAGAGCTCGGCGGGTTGATGAAGGGATATATCATGGTACAATGGGCATACTGGGTCCAGCAGGTCATCTCAGTGAATATTGAGGCTCGGCGCAAGGACTACTGGGAGATGATTGTGCACCATGCCATCACCATTTCCCTCATTGCCGCATGCTACGCGTATCACCAAACCCGCGTTGGTCATCTCATCTTGGTCTTGATGGACGTCATTGAGTTGATCTTCCCTGTCAGTCCTCCTTGAAACAACGTCACGCACCAAACTACCTGCTAACAGTCACGACAGCTGGCCAAGTGCCTCAAATACATCGGTTTCACAACCCTCTGCGACGTTATCTTTGGCGTCTTCCTCTTGGTCTGGGTCTGGACGCGTCACGTATTCTACCTCATGACCTGCTGGAGCGTCTACTATGATCTGCCCCGATCTCTTAAAGAGCCATGCTTTCGAGGCGCTCCGGGCAATATTGAAGGCCCTTTTTCGGCACCCAAAGAGGGGTGGTCCCACCTTCTCGAACCGTTCAAGGACCCCGAGGGCACGGTATGCTTCACCGACGGCATTCGATACGGCTTCTTGACTTTTCTCCTTGCACTTGAGCTTGTCATCTGCGCGTGGTCATTCTTCATTATTCGTGTCTCAGTGAGAGTGCTCAAGGGTGCTCCCGCCGAGGATGTTAGGAGCGATGTTGATGACGAGGAAGAGGAGGAGGAGAAGATCGAGTATGAGGAGATCGAGGCCATTGAGGAGGATGTTGGCGTGGAGTCTATTGACCTCAAGGCTTGGGACAGGTCGCCTTCCCGGAAGGAGTCTTCGAGCTCCAGGGTGAGTGGCGTTAGGACGCACAGCGGCCGGAAGGAGTTGCTCAATAGGATCGGGTGCGAGAAACAGATTGATTGAGGGCTGCGACGATGATACGCTACATTGGCTGGCCAAGACTCGCAGACACAATAGACTCCAATTCTCCAGTTCATGACATACAACTTGCTAGATTTCTACTCTGATACTCGTGTTATCCACCCATTCATATCGTGAGACTCTAGTACGTCTACATCAAAGAGTAGCGATTCTCTCTTCTAAGTCCCAGTTTTTACGTTTACCCTCCACTACAATGGATAATCAGTTCATAAACCACTTCCGTCCAAATTGAGTAGTTTCAGAGAGGTCTGGTCCCAAAGCACCATTTTCTAGAGGCGATGTGCAGCTCCAGTCCCCTCATGAACCGGGACCGAGTGAGACCCGCTCCATTCGGAGCAATATGACGACATAAACCCTCCGATTCGGAGGGTAAAAAACTCGTACGCGTCTCAATTCTCCAGCTCGACCCTCTCCCCCTTTTCCATTCCTCAGCCTCCCGCAACAATTCTATTATCCGCCAGGGTCTGGTGGGGATGGCGAATGGCAGCCACCGTTGGAAACGTGGGTCCATATGCTGTGATTGGAGGCTGCCGAGACATGGACATTCGCATGTTCACCGGACTCAGCTGAGAGGCTTCTCAACACAGAACTTCGGACTTCGCAAACTTAGATGCAGCTATACGAATGCTCGCGGAGCTGAAACCAAAGCTCGTAAAAGGCGCGCTGTATGAACTGTACATGTATCCCATAAATCTTCGATTACTATCAAAGGACTTCGTCTCCGTCCTCCAACGGGATAAAAGAACAATCTTCCCCTTCTGGACTTCTGCTGACGCCCCCCCGTTTGATTAATTGTGTGCCACACACACCGACCAACAGTAGCCCCTGCATTAAGCTATCCCAAGACGGACAGCTCTCTAGTTGCGCCTGGCCTGCCTGTGTTGGGGACGCCCGCTCAAATTATTTGATCCCCTCATGATCTCGATTCTTGCGACTCTTTTTCTTTGCGCATCGCGGTGGTGTGAGACGCGGAATTCTGAAGACAGACCTGCACCCAACCTTGACTGTCTTGATCAATTGGATCAATGATCAGAAGCTGAGGTGTCATTTGGCAAGTCGAGTTTACCATTAGCACGACGACCAAACGATCGCGACGACGAAGCACTTCACGAACTCCCGCCGAGACCCAAAATCCCACGATCTCTTACAACATGGGCGCAAACTACATGGAACTCCAGCCAGGCGCTCAGGTCCCGCCCCAAATGTTGAAGAGCCGCCAGACAAAAAGCTACTCGAAGCGCAAGAAGACAAGGGTATTCGCTCTCCTGCGCCGTCGGACCTGGGCGTTCCCATTGTTCCTCACGATCGTGATCCTCTCTCTCTACGCCGTCAATCCGACCGACTCTAACCCGACGTACCATTTCATATTCCCCTCCTACAAGCTCGACGATGACAGCGCCGGGACAATTCAATATGGCAAGGGACCTTGGGACATCGCCTTCGTTGCCTTCTACACAATATTCCTCACCTTCACCCGTGAGGTCTGCATGCAAGAGCTCCTGACACCTCTCGCTCGCGCATGGGGCATCAAATCCCGCGCCAAGCGCGCACGCTTCGCGGAGAATATGTACACAGCACTCTACGTGACCGTCATTGGGCCCTGGGGTCTGCACGTCATGAGCCGTACGCCAGTATGGTATTTCGACACCCACGGGATGTATGAGGGCTTCCCGCACCGCACGCACGACGCTAGCTTCAAGTGCTACTATCTCCTACAGGCAGCGTTCTGGGCGCAGCAGGTGGTGGTGATGGTGCTGGGCTTGGAGCAACGGCGCAAGGACTTTCATGAGCTTGTCGCGCACCACGTCGTCACGGTTGCGCTCGTTGCGCTGAGTTATCGCTTCCATTTTGCGTA